CTGTTCCTAGAAAAATTTACTCTTGTCATCTTAGCCAAGTTACTGGAGATCAGTGTCTTAGTTATGACTTGTGCTGTTTGGAACAAAATACCAGACATAGCATATGCAAACTGCAGTTCTTAAGAAGCCTTGTAGCATAGAGAACCAGGTAGAAACACGAGTCTCTTGAAGAGACTGGCACTTGGATTATCTGGCAATGCTTGGTTGCTCCTAGAAAAAGATCTACTTCCATGTGTCACAGCTGAATTTACAGTGTTGTCAATGTATTGCATTGGAGAGTAAGAACCAGTTGGCAGCAACCATCTCACTGCATGTCCCTCCCCTGCCTCTCCTTCTACCTTCTGCACTCACACTCACCCCCCATGCTTTAAAGTAGTATGCTTACATCTTGAGGTAACTCCCAGGTCATGGTTTTACTCAAAAGTTGTGAGGTCTGTCAAAAGCAAGTACCACCCCTGGAATGATTCTGTTGTCCACAGTTATCTTTAGCAATAAAAAGGAGCTGGTGATATTTTGCTTCAGAAAATACTATGCTGTGCTACAGCAATAACACCACTAATAGGAGTTAAAGTGAAAATTCTTTCCATCGCTGTAGGAGGATAAAAAAAGGTATGACAGTATGTTATCCCATCGTCACTGATATGATGAAGCAGTCCACCACACTTTGCTCTTGTGCTTAGTGAGTCTACAACTAATACTCTGCTTCTTGACTACTCAGTCATTGTACCTCTTATGTATCTTCAGTTATCAAAGAGAAGTGTCTGAATTCTCCACCCATATTTAACTAGAAGTGCTGGGATGAAATATTCACATGTGAATTGCATTTTGTGTCCTTCTTGAAGTGTGGACTTTACTCAACAGGAATCTTTAAAAGAACAAGTGTCCTTAATTGCACTGTTTTAAAGCAAAACACTTAGCCTCTGTGTTTCTGATGGGTGGGCCATGCTGATTACAGTATTCATTAAACATTCGTGGGGTTGTTTTGAAACATCTGCAAGATCATGCACTGCAATAATTCATTAAGAGCAAGACGAATATTGGTGACATCTTTTCAGTGACCTTTTGAAATGGCTGAGTGAGAAGTAGCTTGCACTTGTGATTCTACTGGAGTAATAATTAGCATGATTTTCCTTGTAAGTACAAAATGCACTTTCATCTCAGAATCTGCTGCCCTGGCCTCTGTAGTGTTGAGCAGAGAAGGTCATCTGTAAGCAGAGCTTTGGGGAAAACAATTTCAGATTTTTATTGCTTGTGTTTGGGCTGTTGTTCATACTTGTCTGCCATGCAAGAGGTGTTTTTGAGCTAGGTTAAGTGTTTGTGTGTTTGTTTCTCTGTCCATAACTTCTTAGGCATATATAGGAGTAAACTTGTCATCTGTTTGGCACTATTCTTCTGATATTGCATTTGCTATATGTGGAGCCAGAGATGATGAACAAGGAATCAGTTCATCATCTGTGTCATTAAGATTCATATTGTTTGTGGGTCCAATACTGTACTTGGTTACATCAGTGTAGTCCCGAAACACTGCTCATAATTATTTTGCATTATTTGGAGATTCCGTAGTTGTCTAATTTTAGAGAGGACTTTAATTTATGTTAAAATTTTTACATGCCCCAAGGCTCTCTATTTTGGTGGTATGGAGAAAGTTTGAAAGAATTGTCATCAATGTAAACCAAAAACACCTCAGGCAACTAAATGCTTGCCGGTTTCCATTTTGTTATTCATTAACTACTCAGTTATTCCTCTCCCCTCCTCCCCACGAGCACTTCCCCCCACCGCTCAAAAAAACCCACTAAGGAAACAAGCACACCACAATAAAAATGCTAATAAAGAGAGTAGTTCCCAATAGACCATAAGAGACAGCATTTATAACCCCGATAGAAATGCCAGTCAGCTTTTTTTGATGTAAAGCATCTGTCTCCAAAAGGAAATGAAGGCAGGCCTGTTTCTCCTTTCAAGTCTCTGAAGTAGTAGGTGGTGTCATTTGTTATACAGTGCTACAAGCCCCATGTTATTGCACTGGTAGCTGCAGACTGCCTTTGTTAACGTACTGAAAAGTTTTATCAGCTGTCTTTAATAGAAGACAATATATGTGAAGATAAACTATAGCAAATGTGTCTCGCTCTCATCTTCAGATCATCATTTATAGCTGTCAGGGAACGATGGCACTGAGGTATATAATCTTTCAGTCACCCAAAATTCTCACAACTGTTACAATAAACCATCGATATTGGGGTGGCTGATACCCTAGAAAATTAGGCAGCAGTCTTTCCAAAATCCTGTGCACTTCCTCATTTGAAACATGAAGGAGTTGGGATGAACTTTCAGCACTACCTGAAATGAGTTATCAGTTCACATAACTAAATGTATAATTTTCCATGGATACATTTGTTTAGAGCATTAATGACCTAAAATGTGTTGCATCTCCAGGAAAACAGGAATGATGTCTAGATGTTGAAAAGTTTCAAGCTGAGTTAAAAGGCATGCAGCTTGTTCTTTTTCTAGATATTTTTGTTGCTTGCTCTAGTGAAATGATAGATCAGATTGATGGCAGAGGAAGTTTTCTTAGCTAGGCGTATAGTCTTACATATATGACGCTCTTTAGAGTACTTGATTAGTACCATACACATACCATGTTTTCAGGGGTGTGTGAAGGAAATGCAGAGGAGTTCTGGAAGCCATATGAGACAACTGTGTTACTTCCCACACAATAAGTTTGTGGATGCTGTAGAATTAGCCCTGAGCACATTGTAACGTGCATCTTATTTGAGTTCTTCTAGGTTTTGTAAGATTTGTCTAGGTGCAAACATACGCACATAGTTATATTTCAAGTGAGAAGACAGTTCTGTGTCAATAACTGTGCTCTTGACAAAAGGTGTTTGATTCATAAACTCTCATTAGACAAATTGGAGGAGCACAATTAGTGGGAATGGACCATCGTACTCATGATTTGAGAAAATTCTCTCAAACAATATTAAGTCTAAAAATAAATGAATAAATACAATACATGGATATTTAGACAGCCATCCATATACAGTGGAGCTGTCTTCAGATCATTCTTCACTTACATGAGTTCAATTAGCACCTGGAATATCTGTAATTAAGGAGTGTATTACTCCATAATAAAATAGTATGCAAGACTGGCACTACAAAGGTGGAGCTATGATAATGGGGCTGCTGATAGGTGTTGTCCATAGCAGAGATAGATTTCAGGCGCTTAGTTTTCCTCCTCTGTACAGAATATGACTGAAGAGGAAATTTTAGGAGACTATTTAACTGGGAAAACTTTATAAAATCCAGTTGGGATTTTTTTGTTCTGATTTTTAGTAGAACAAAGTAACTGACTTAGGGGTGGTGAAAATAATCTGTAAGGGTAAAGCAAGGAAAATTAAATCTAAAAATAACATCTTCAGATTCCACTGCATTTGCATTATGATGTTTACAATAAGGAGGGCTGGACTCATTTTGTTTTGCTTAATTTGAAACTCTGAAAGCCAGTTGTTCTGAAAGTTTGATGTGTCGCAATTCTTCATGAGTTTCTGTGATGCATATCTTAATGGGTGAAAAGAAGCAGGAAGAAAGCTGGAAAAATATGAAATATTTGTAGGATATACAACTAAACAATTTTCTGGACAATATTTCCACCACAAAATTTAGGTTTTGGACACAAGAATTATGGGGGGGGGTTTTGAAGCTTGATTCAGAAGGATAAGAGTAGTAAGTTTAACTTGCTAGAGGAGAGGTTTGGAACATAGGTAAGTCTTCCTCATCCCAATGACTTCATATTACCACATCAGTCTGGGAGACCAACTCTCATGCATATTTTGTTGGCCTTCTACCTACCATATTTTCCTGACGTTATTGTCGCTGAAGGGTTTCTGAAACATACCAACACCCCCACGCAGTAGTCTGAAGCTGAGATTCCATGTGGCTTCACATTTTGAGTATTGCATTTTGATCAGAACATTGGTGAGTGGTGTATTCAGACACTTACCATCTGAGGCAAAACTATGTGACTTCGAAAGTGTTTCTGAAGTTCATTGGAAATGACAGTGACCTGAGGGGGACAATCATAGTGAACTTTGTGTAGTATTTTTTCTCCTTTTCCTTTGAAATGCAAGACACTGGCTTGGCAAATGCCTTTACTGTGCTCTCACTAGCATGTGAATACCTTAGGTACTTGCAAAAAGCTAAGTTAGACTGTTCAGCTTCATAAATCTGCTTTTCTGCCCTTGTAGTATTTGTTAACTCCAGTAACCAGGCATGCTTAATTATTGTGAACAACCTAATGTTTCATAATGGAATAATCTAAAGATGAAAAAATATAAACAAGAAACATTTTGTCTTAGCTAAAGATGGAAAATTGTTAGTAACATCAGAAGCTTTTTAATGGATTTGTTATGAAATTTTCACATCTTTGTTATTAAAATAACATGTTTCCGCCATTGTTAATTTTATTCAGTCGTTCATTAAGAAATAATTGCCACAGCCTGAATCTACATGGATATCCTAGAACCCCCGAACTTCCTTAGAATCTGAGAACAGATTGTATTTTCTACTAGTTATAATTAAGACAAAGAGAAAAAAGAGATGAGTTCCAATGTGTTAACTGTTCACGACGATTATAAACTCCTCACTGGCAATGGGTTGAATTAAAATTAAATTCCTGTCTTCAGTCCACTCTTGGATTACTTTAATTTTCTCTTTGAAACTGTGCTAGGCTGACATTGCCACATGTAAAGCTTTATGAGTTCTGTGATTTCTCATTAAAGAGAGAAGTCTATGTCTGTAGACACCAGAGCTTGCCCTGTTTAAAGCACAAAGTATACAGCAGCTGTTCAGAAACTTTTTCTTGTTATCTCTATTTGCTTAAATTGCTAAATTACTTCCATGAAAAGTCTGCAAACACAAGGGAATAATTTATTTAAGTGGAAGAAGATTGTCTGAAAAGGAAAATTGAAAATATTCCTAATATTTCTCCTTCCCTTTTTTTGTACCAGTATCCAGCTGCCCTAATGAATCTTGGAGCCATTCTCCATCTGAATGGTAAACTGAAAGAAGCTGAAGAAAACTACCTCCTTGCTCTTCAACTTAAACCTGATGATGTCATCACTCAGTCCAATCTTCGCAAGTTGTGGAATATAATGGAGAAACAAGGTTTGAAGACATCCAAAACATGATGATGAAAACTCTGAACTTTTTTTTTCTCATATTGGTTAAAACCATGAACTAGAACTTCCACACAGTTGTCCGATCAGAGAAGTCATTGGACTTGACTGCAAGGATCAGAGGTCTTAATTGCTGCTAGGAGAAGGTATTCCGCTTTTTTGGCATAAGTTTTTTTGCTAGATAAATAGAAAAAGGGAGACTTTGAGATATTCATGAAGGACTTGTTACCCCACATAAATATATAGAACCATAGCACTTGAGAGAAGGTGTTTTGGCATATTTGATAAATCATTGCAAATCCCATATTGCTCACTTTTGGGTGGGTACTTGAAATGTATACTGTCTTAGAAATACTAAGGGAAAATTGTACAGTATACACTAAGCCATATGGGAGTAAAAGTGGTAATAGTAGGTTGAAGTATTTTGCTGATACTGTAACTGATTAAAATGTATACTAAATCCAGTGTGTTTGCAGTTTGTCTTAATGCTGCTGTATCTCACTTTACGACCACTTGCTTACCAATTTCACAGCTGATATGGCCAATTTTTTTCAAACCTGTCACTTGTGATTAAATGACAGCATTCAAAATTGTTTACTGAGAATATGCATATTATTTCAGCTTGATAAGTTTTAATGCAGTTTTATTGAGATACACAGTCAAATGGCTGCAGGCTAGACAGAATGAGCAAGGAACTGCCCATATTCTACATCAGATGTGTATGTAGAGCGGTAAAAAACCCCAGAAAGTTCAGACGTGTGATTTAGCAATACAAGCAAGACTGATGTTTGCGCTGATATCAAATGAGTGTGGTCAGACTGTCGTTTTAAGGGAAAAAAAAGGGTATTATAGAACAATGTGTTTGACTCTCTTAACATTGCTGTCAGATAAGACCAACTTTAAACTGGACTCAGCATACAATATTTCTGCAATAACTCAGCCAAGTGAGATTTGAAAATATTAGTGCTTGGATATGCTACAAATGAGACTTAATGAGCAACTCGGAGAAAAGGGAATGTTATACATTGGTGAGGCTAGCAAATAACTGAGGGGACTGGATTAGATCATGCTTAAAACAATCTAGATCAAGAGAAATCTGTAAAGGTGGTTGCCAGTTACTTTTCACAGTGGTGGTGGTTTGAAAAGTATTACTTATTCAGACTCTAACCAAATATTAGCATTCTGTTTGTATTCTGACAAGTGTGGTAGCAGCAGAGCTGTCAAATGTCTAAATATGCTTTTGGTGAGGTTCGATTTATTTCTGTTTCAGAATGATTTGGCCTAGTTACTGTTTTAGTCTTCAATTTTTAAATGTAAAAATAATTTATTTTAAATTGCAGTGTATTGAAGCTTTAGTCAGTTTATTTCCAGGCGGTTTGTTAACTGCTTTCTTTCTTTGGAATAAGAATTATTGCTTGTAAGAAAATGTACTATTTCATTTAATGACCTGTTGGTATCTGCTTCAGTGTTCTTTTCATAATGGTAGATATGATGTTAAAGTGGTAGAGCACCTTGAACTGAAGCTTCTTCAGGATCCTCTGTTAAAAACTCTTTATTACTGAGAAAGGGTTTTGGGTTTTTTGTTGTTGTTGTTTTTCTTTTTTGCTTTTTAACTGTTGAGCACCATTCCAACAAAACTGTAGAGAAGAATACTTTGCTGTATTTATTTATTTATTACTTGACTGCAGCAAGGTTACTTGCCATTAACACAATAGTCTGTAAGTGTTGCTATTTCTTTTATTTGGTTTCCCTTGCATTTTTTGTGGTCAGTGTGTGTACCTAATGGGAAAGGGGACACTTGCGTTATACTCTACTTTCTTGGTCATTCTCCCCTTACACTTGGATTTTAAATCTGTATCAAAATGGAATGGGGAGTAGCTGTTTCAAAGTCAGTATAGTAAAAAATTGTAGTAGTGTGTGTTTCCTTTTCTTTCCTCTTGCTTGCTAAAATAAGTTGCTAAGTTTACAACTAGCCTACCAGAAGGGCCAGAGGGGCAAGATTGTTTGGTTTTGTGGAGTGTGTCAAGTTTTTCTCAAATAATGTTGTGGCTGGAAAAGCAAAATTGAAGGGTCAAAAGTTGAATTTCTACTTTATCATTGAAACCAGTCTTAGAATACAATGGTAGCTTGAACTTATTCTCCTGCTTTACTGAATATCTGGAAAAAGTATAGAAATAAATTAGATAGTAACTATAACTGCACTCAGTATAAATCTGTGGTATCCTGCAGCTTTATTTGCTCAACAGCCATCAAACTTTGATGGCTTCTTGGTCTTAACCATTCACTATGTTATTTGTCTCCTTCCACTTGTACTCATTCTTGTTTAGTAATCTTTATTCATTGCACAAAAGGGGGAAAGGGGGAGCACTCCTGTGATGCCGTGTCATGCTTGCATTGATAACTGGTTTTGTTTGTTTGTTTAAAAAAAAAAAAGGAAAAGAAAAGAAAGAAAAAAGGACTAGCGTAAATTTAACAAGAATGTCCCTGAATACATTTTTTTAATATAGGTCTGGGCTTGATAACTTTCTTCTTTTGGGATAAATTTAAAACATGTTTAAAATATGTCTCTCTGCTCAGGGATTTATGGTGGATTATTGCAGACAGTGCTAAAAAAAACAAAAGAGCACAAGACAAGTTTACTAAATTAAAATTTTATTTTTTGAAAAACTGTTATTTGTATAAATTATCAGATTTGTAGGCTTTCCTTTTTGTAGAAATAATTGTTTATGTGCCAGATAAGAGAATTTCAATTTTGTTTTCAATAATAAAGCATTGATAACTAATACACTGTGCATTCCTTTATCTGTTACTGTAACAACACTTTTAAAAAAATTATTCTAATTTAGTGAATTATATTGACTGTTTTACGTATGAGAGAACTATATGGCATAAGTAGAGTACAACCTATCACAGCTGGCTTTCTTCTGTACTCTATTGCAATTGTACTTCAGCTGATATTTTCAAAAAGGATCTCTGGAAGCATTTTTAAATATTTCTACTCACTAAATCTGGCCAAAGGGGTATGGTAACTATTATATTTGATTGTTGTTTCTAAACTCTATGGGAATAAAAGCTGATGAAGAAGATATATTTATAAATTATTTTTATATTGACATACAGTAAAAATGCTTCTAACGTATAATTGGCTACAAAATCTGGAAAGAAGACTTTGCTTACATACATGGTCTGAGATCACCTTTCTCTCGTGCTGCAACATCACACGATCCATTTCAAATCTGCTGCCTTCCTGCTCAGGAGATGTTACGGACTGACGTGATTCTTTGACCTTTTGGGTTTCTCTTAATCTTCTGTGGACAGAGCCTTCTTAACTCAGTGGACATAACACTAATATATCCTCATACCTTCCTAGTTCTGTTGCGTTCAGGTCCTGTGCAGTGATAGATTTGCTCTACAGTTGAAAAACATTGATGGGCATGAGCAGAGCACTAGAGAGGCTTTGGATCACTGACTTCCAAATTCAACTGCCATGCCTTGTTTTTATCAAAGGTCACGCCTCGCCTTCAGACACGGTCCTTCCTTGCCTAAGTAGGTTTTGATGAAATGGCAGATGCTGAATACAGAGTATGCAAAGAATAATGTGATCTGCGTTACTCCTTTCTCATGGAAATAAGAGTCTAAATATGCTTGAACTCCCGCTCTGGTATCTTATCCCTAAACCCTTCTCTGTGAGGTCCTCTTCTGTCTGCCTTGTGTTGTGCACAGACGGTTTCTGTTCTTCCAAGCATCACACTTTTCGGGCGGCAGGTACCTGATACATCCATCTCCCTTTCTGATGGAGGCACATGGCAGCTCTGCGGAGGCTTTTTATTCCTGCCATCTTACACAGGCCCATCTGAACTTGCTCTCTGTAGCTGGCACAGACAACTGTGTTACTTCTGGGATTTGAACTAGTAT